AAGATAAAACTCAACGCTTACGTTTGACAGAACGAATGACAAAGAGAAGAAAAGTGAATGACAGTGACATTTGATTCTTCCACAGACCTGTTCGTTTTATAAAACGGATGGTGGGCGCAGCAATGCAATGCAATGCAAACGATTATGGCATTGTATGTTCACAAAAAAGCGTGTAAGATAAGAGTTTTTAGAAATCCTCATGGAAATACTAATATGGAAATTCCAGTGTATAAGATTCCATATATAAGATCATCAGGGAAACCCTAAAAAACCATCAAGCAGCCTGTGAAATTCCGTTCTATAACTCAAGTATTCCTTTACCTACCACCCACCAGTGTTGGGCAAAATTTAATTGTTCTGGAAATTAAAGATTGACAATTAATTAATTGTCAATTGCGATACAGTAATTAACGATTGATAAATTGTTAGTTGCGAGAACCGCAATTAATTAATTGTTAATTGCGGTTCTTGCAACTAACAATTGATCAATCGTTAATCGCGTATATTTATAATTAACAATTAATCAATTTTCAATCTTTTTAATGTTTTTGATTAATAATTAACAATTAAAATTGACAATTATGATAAATTTATAGGGCATACGGGAGTGAGTTAGGGCGTGGGTTAGGGGGTGGGTTAGGATTTGGGTTGGGGGTTAGAAATTGGGTTGGGGTGGTGGTTATGGTTTAGATTGGGGGGTTAGGGATGAGTTAGGTTGTGGTTTAGGGGGTTGAGTTAGAGTTTGGATTGGGGGTTAAGGGTGAGTTAGGGGTTAAATAAATAATGAATGTATAGAAATATTAGGTTAGGAGGTGCGTTAGGAGTGAGTTAAGGGTGGGTTAGGGGTGGATTAAGGGGTGGATTAGGGGTGGGTTAGGGGTGGTTTAGGAGGTGGTTCAGTGGTTGGGACAGGGGGTGGATCAGGAGGTAGTTTGGGGGGTGGGTTAGGGGGTGGGTAAAGGCGTGGGTTAGGGTGGATAGTGGTCCACGGTGCCCCCCAGAGCAGACGGGGGGCAGACTGAGGAAACCCCCATGAGGGGCCCCCATGAGGAAATCACCGAGGGGGAGTTGGAGTGGGCGGTGGGACGGCTGCGGGGGCGGAAGAAGGCTCCCGGCTCAGACGGGGTACCGGGACGAGTCCTTCGCATTGCCCTGAAGCATCTCGGGACCCACCTCAAGCATCTCATGGATGACTGCTTGAGGACGGGGTTGTTCCTGAGATGCTGGAAGGAGGGAAGGCTCGTCCTGGTGCCCAAGCCGACGGGCCGACCTGCGGACTGCCCCTCGGGGTTCAGGCCCCTCGTCCTGCTGGACAAGGTGGCGAAGATCCTGGAACGAATCATCGCCTCTAGGATCAACGAACACCTGAGGGGGACAGGCTCCGATGTGTCG